AAATAAAGTAAAATTAAATAAGATTGATACTACGTGATGCTTTGAAATAAATAAAGCAAAATTAAACAAGATCTGATATTTTTTTTTTAATTTAATGAACATTTTCAGGCAGTGATTTTCTAAACTGTAATAACATTACAAACGATCATATTTATTATATGATCATTAAATTATTAACATTAAAGTGGATTAGTTATTTTAATATTTCATAAAATTCGGAGCATAAAATTTTCTGACCGTAATGAAGGAAAAAAAAAGATAAATTAAATCTAGAAGCACTATTTTTTTTAAGTTTTGTGTGTTACCTATATTTATTGAATATCATGTTCTTTGCCCGTAAACCACATACACTTGAAAACAGCATATCTTTAGAATTTTCGCACTGGAGATAAAACTTTTATATTCCTTACAATACTCGATTTGAACTCGTTGAGTTTGTTAATCAAAAATTCGTTAAAGTTTTACAAAATATGAAATAGATTAAAACAAATTCGAAATTCTGCCGTCCAAATGCCTATGTTCGGGTGGAGGATTACATTATTCAAAATTTGATGGCTCTAGATACTGTCGTTTTTGTCACAGTGCGAGAAACATACATGCATGCATATTCATTATTTAATCATCATGCAGATTCTTCATTATTTAATTTCTTTACATATAATACAGGGCGATAATATTTGGTAACAACAATTTGCAAGGAGACACACGGACATTTATAGTAAAACAGCGCAAAATGCCGCTTCGAAACTAACAGCCTTTTCTAGGCTACCGCCCCTTTGGGCTAATAAATTAAATTAACAGTAAATAAAAAAAAAAAACCTTATGCAGAACTAAAATAAAATTTAAAAAATCAATCACTATAAAATACAAGCAAAATTAATTATTACGGTTAAATACAATTTTAATATTAGAATCAACTGTATAAAATTTTTAAGGAGTCAAAAGTCTTTATCACTATGATGTATTTTGAAATATAATTGAAATAAAACTCCTTTATAGAAATTGTGCTATAATACTCATGTATAATTTTAAAAAAGCAGCACGATTTAGAATTTTAAACAAAACTTTCAAAAATTCGTTTTTTAAAATTTTTTAAATATGTTAGTATTTTTTACTTATTTGCACCAATAAAAAAGCATAAAAATTGCAAGAGAAAATCGCTTGCTTGAAATATTCTATTAGTTCAGATTTAAAATATTATTTTCTAAAAGAGGTAGTTACAAATTTCCTTACAGCATAGGAAAAGCTAAAAAAAATATCCAGTCCTGAAAGCATGCAATATTTATAATTATTTGGAACGTTAATTATGCTTGATAAATATGCTAAATTTTTAAAAATCAATCTTAATTTCAAAAATAAAAATATGTAGAAATTCTAATTTGTGAAATGAGGCGCTAGAACCAGTTTTTCTTGACAATTATACACGCTGCAATAGGCAACCAATGTTAAATTTCTGCAGGTCGTCCCTACTTCTCCGGATGCATATTTCACAAGTGCACATCTGTGTAGCCACCGAGGGAGTGGCTTCTAGGATGGACCAATGAGTATCCAGTAATATTTCTGTCATGTCACATGACCTTTCGCGTGCTTTGAGATTTAAGCAAGATGATTGAAAATATTCTGGCACGCAACTTTCTGTAAAAAATAATTAAAGAATAGTCGATTGCTTCTGAAACTTTTCATTGCGAAGTTAGATCAAATATAGGCAATTATGAAGATTTCACTATCTGGTTGAAATAAATGCAAACACATGTTGGATATTTCGCAAAAATATAGATGTGAAATATTACTCAATACGTGGTAAATAAGATGAAGAAAGAAATATGTGATAAACATCTGAGCCCAAATGCAATCTTACATAAAACTATGCGTATGAGAAAAATATTTTCACCACTTATATATGTAAATAGAAGTCAGCACTTTTTATTGCAGTCTATATGAAAAATATGTTCTATAATAATAACCAATGCAGAATTTTAGTCAAAGTGAAATTTACTAATTTGCATTCGTATACATTGTGTTAAATTTCACATTTAATAAGTGCTCACTCTTAAGGGAACTGTCTACACAAGAAATACTCATGAAGCAGAGTGAATTTATCTTATTCACAACGAGTATATTCAATTTATTGACATATAACTTTTAATTTTAACAATGGATACAATCAGATCATATGTACTCTGAATCTTACACTTTAAAAATCAAAAGAATGCACTGAAATAAGAAAACACTAGATTCATTGTAACACTTTCAGTCATTCTCATCTCAATTAAAAGAAATATACACTTCAATTCTCTGAATCCACATAATATGCCGTGAATATCAATCTAAATATTAATGCGTGATAAAAAATCTCCAAAGTGAAATGTCAGCGATTAATTAAACTCAGAAAACGAAAGCGCTGCAATAATTTCTACTATTACGCCATATATTTATAACAGCAAAACAAATTCAAATTAAAACGTAAACAACATACGCTCACATGCACGAACACTTCGCGTCACAAGAGCAATAGCAGCTCATTGGTTCATTTTCGAAACCCCTCCCTCAGTGGCTACGCTGATGTGCACTTGTGAAATATGCCCTCCGGATGTGATCAAGGTGACAGCCGGCAATGCCTCAGACGAGGGAGGAAACCCGTTTGGGTTAGTCTATTTTTTATAAGGTCCATGACCAACACAGACGACTGACGTCTAGTCTGCGATGGGAGAAATTGTTAGACGCTGCACACGAGACCAACATGCGCGCGCATGTTGCGGTCGTGTGCAGCGGCGTAGTGTGCGATTCCTCGTATCTCAAATCTTCCTCTCATGTCAAAGCAAAATATCGCTCGCTTGGCGGCTCGTATCTCAAAACACTCGTATATCTATGTACCACTGTATTTATTTTTTATAATTTTGTGGCTCGGTGTTAATTATAGATGCTGCATATTGTTTATTACTCTATTGTCTCATACAATGTACAATGATAACTTGTGATATGCTCATGTACACATCAGTTGTCATGCATTGATCTCAAAACCTCGCATCAGTCGTAGTATATCTTGTGGTCACATAACGTTTCGGATTCACTAATAAGCGATTTAACAATCACAATAATTTTAAAAGAATCATATCGTCAGAACTTTCGATAACGTGTTAAGTATTGCGATACATTTCTTTTTATATTCGCTATATTATTTGTATCTTCTACTTATTTGTACAGATCAGGGTTTCTTAAACTATGAGTCCCGACCCCGAACGGAGGTCGCGGGAGCAGCAGCAGGGTTCGCCAAAGAAATTTAGCTGTTTTGATATTTCTTTAACTTATCATAATAATTTTACAATTTCCAAATATGTTTACACAGTATATTTTAAAATAGATAAAGATAAGACAATACAGACAAAGAAAAAAACGAAAGCGTTTCGACGCATTCTTTTTATTATATAAACGTTCATTTTCCTTGCTTTGCACGTGACGCTGTCATTTCGTCTCTTACTTATTTAAAATTTTCACATTGTTCCATGTCTTAAAATTAGAAATTGAAGCTAATTACCTAAAACGGCAATAGTATATTACAGTGCAAGTGAAAAATTTGACAGTTTCATTCACGCGTGTGTCGGATTTGCGCTATAATTATGAGGTCTAACAAAAATTTTTGTAAATATTATGGGGTCCTGCGGAGGGCACGAAAAAATCTCAGTGATAAAAAGGGGTCGCGACTGAAAATAGTTTATGAAACCGTGGTATAGATGATGACTAAATGTTTAAATTGTTTCTTCTGTTACCTGTGCCTTGTGATTTAAAAATCAAATCTATGAGTACCTTGGAATTATGAAAAGGGCAGAATATTATAGATTAATAATTAGAATTTCTAAATTACTGATACTTTAAATGGTTAGCTGCTTTATTCTTTCTTTCAAAACTGTATTCATTTTAATAATTGCATTAAGAGCGGTTTTATTTTTAATTTTTGCGTTACGAATTTATGAAAATACGTATTTTACATTATAGAAAAGAATGGGTTTAATTATTAAATTCTTAAAGGATCTATAAGTTGAAACTCAATTATTTGCCGAAGAAAAACATTAAAAATGTGCAACGAAGCAGTTAAAAATTAATTTTTCTTTACTGTAAATTAAGTGAGATTTAAACTCGGCGAAACCATTCTGATTACTTAATTATGAATAACGTTCTGGAGAGCAATAAATCAAGCAGTTGTTCTACTAGAATGTAACATATACGTAAATCATTCTTTGGGTTTTTAAAAGTGACTTGATCTGAACATGAGCTGTTTGTTAATATCAGAGTAATAGAGATACGTATTTAGCTTCACTTAGAAGAACAAGAAAAAAATAATAAATAAATAAATAAACACATTAAAAAATTATTATTTGAATTTTTTTCGATTTGTAAAATTTTTATTGTAGTTTTCATTTTCAGAATATGATTTTATATATGCTTAAATAATTTTAAAAGTATAATATACAAATAGAGTTTTTGTTTTTACAAAATAAGAATTACAGGGAGGTTGTAGAAACGAAATAATTTTTGTTCGTTCATAGGAACTCGTTTTGGCAGGACTTCCATGCTAATACACATTTGAGAAAGGTATCAAATTTAGAAGAAAACCAGAGAAACAGACACTATATCAGAGATTTACACAAGAGATTACACCAAAAAAACCATAGAATTTACACCAATTACACCAAAAAAAAGGCATCAAAAGTTAGAATTTTTTCATTAATTTGTAATAATGAAAATGTTAAAGTTTTCGCCTAGAGAAGACTTAGGTCTCGATTGGTGATCGAATACAGGACTTATTATTCTCTAGGAAGTGCTCTACGAAATGGAATTAAAATGATATAATATTTACCTAGCCAAAAGAAATGACATTTTGATCTTAAATAATTGATCCGAACATGATGTGACCAAGACAGCTGTTATAACTTTAAACATTTTTGATGTTATAAAATATTGTAGAATAAATAAGGACAATTATAAAAAATGGAAGTATTTACCTATGAGCAAAGGCATACTTTTAATGTCTTCATCATCCAAAGCAACTGATGGAGGTTGAGTTAGAAGCTCACCTGGAAGAAAAATAGAATGACTAAGTATCTAATCATTTAAAGAGAAAAGTAAATACAAAATAGTATATATTAAGAAAAAATTTAAAATATTTATTAAATTTGACACAATTAGATATGCAGACCGATAAGATCCAAGGAATCGTATTCCAGTAATGCATCTTTTAGCATTCGTAGACCACTTGCTGAAACGGCAAGAATATTTATAATGTAATTATCTTCGGAGTCAGTTACTCGATTTTCTATTATATTATACGTACACTGAATACACACTTACAATCTGCATTTGGAAAAAACCAAATCTTTCAAAGAAATCTACAGTAAACCTTTAAATTTAGGATAACCATTTTCAAGATTAACCTCTTCAAGTAGGTCAGCGACACTGAAGATAAATTACAGATTTCTCACCCTTAATCGGACATCACCGGTGTTTGTAGTGCTACTAAGATATTTTAATCGTTTTCTGTTGATGATATCACAATACCACTTAACCCAATAACCTTTTAGATATCTTATAAACCATTTCTCTTTGATTAATATAACAGAAAGTAAAATTAAATAAAAATCAAATCGCATTTGACTAAAAAGCTGGTAAAATAAAGGCAGAAGGTATTACTCGTAGCTCAATAATAGCGTTCGTCGCCATCACTTCCAAAGCCGGCATTTTTAACTAAGATTCGAATATCTTGAGGTGTGGGCTTTCAGAATATCTAGGTTTTTATATAGAATAATGCGTGAATCATCATCAACCGATGATGACAGCGATGTCAGATGAACGATGATTTAATAATTAATCAAACGAGCTCAGCTGCCGTCTTTTTGACTTCTGCTCTTCACGCCACTAGAAATACCTTCTTTTGTGTTCATTGAAGACATGATTTGAGAATGTCATTGATGCATCCTGAGGAAGACAAACAGAAATGCGATTGAATATTCTCAAACATTGCTAATTTGGGCTCTAGCGCGACAAAGGACGAAATGAAATATTTTACGACTGCTTGAAAGTGCTCAAATGTAGCTGATGCAGGCATATCCTAAAAAAATATGCAGCGCTATGATGAATATTATCCCATACCATCTATCCTGCAAGAAATGATCAGTGACAAATTGGTGATAAAATAGTGGTTAAAATATTTAATTTCAGAAATTCGTTTGAATGATATTCTTCTCGTTTAGATTTTTTGAACCAAATTATCGGCATAATTTTCAGCTGCGCTACTTGAACACCTTGTCTACCTTCAGTTTGGCTTCAAACTGCTTTCTCACAGATGTTCTTTCTTGAAAATGCTATAAGTATGTGACAGCATTATAAATTTGTTTGCATAAGCGTTTCTTTATTTAGTGCTTGAATTTTTACGATGCATTCTGGCAAACCAGTAGAAAACGCAGAATACTATTAGCTCAATCCGAATTAGAATTTTCTATAATGATTTGGCTGCATGAGTATTTTCGTGGTTTTCCCCATATATAAAATAAATACGAGCCAGTTTGAGAAAGTCCTCCATGAAACCATGTCTTACCTTGGAGAAAAATATTTTTATGCTTTACTGCTTTCAAACAAGCAAAAGAATGCATTCCATTTAGCCATATAACTCCTTGTTAAAAAAAGCGAACAGTACAGGAAAACACTCTTCTGTGGGCTAGTCTTCATCTAAGACTGCGACTACAACAGGTGACATGGCACAAGACGTAGTCAACTTTATTACTCATGAAAAAGGGGTGTGGAAAGACCTTAGCCGCATTTTTAAATTGTGCGCATGTGATTTGGAATCTTAATGCGAAATTTGGGACTGAAAATTTCTGCTTGGAAAATGTGCGGTCTACAACGCAATTAGTTGATTAATTGATAAAAACAAGAGATTTGAAATGTATCTTCCTAAGGGAAGCGATACATTGTACTGGAGTTTTCCAGTAATAGTATTGAAACTAGTTAATGTAAGGAGTTTTATGGAAAACTAGTTAATGTAAGGTAAACAAATATTTATCTACACGTGAGACAAAGAGTGCATCAGATTGAGAGTCAGACCAGGCAAAAGTAGCCCATACATGGACATTTTGGTGACTCATTCTGGAGCATCGCCTCAGGGAAAGCCGAAACCCCCAAAGATAATCTTTAACTATAGTTACATGATAACACAGCCCGAACGAAAAACTCCTGCATTTATCCCTTTTGAGTACAGCCTGTTCTTCACGACGAATTACTAGTGTTCAACGGTCTTATTTATTCGGCCATTGGTTTGCTTAGTCAAAGTGTAAGGGTCCTAAGTTTTACTAACGTTTATTTTATTTTAAAACTGTACTATCACTTTTTATTTTCTACTTCCGGCCAGAATTAAATGCTTTAACTTGTTTTTGCAAATTGTCTTGCCAACACCCAAGTATTTAGTAAGTTGTGGTATTTTGCCAAGAGTTGGAGAGAGAAGGAGATTTAGGAAGCAAGCCGCTTGCCACTGCAGTTTTACGAGTTTTCACTCGGTTGCTGTTTGCCTTTAAGTCCAGAGGTTTAGCCCTCTTGATATTTGAAAACGTATTGTAGTTTCAGCAGCTCGGCGTACTACATACGTACCCTTTTAAATAAAGGCCAGTCTTAGTGCTAGGCATTTGTATACTAATTCAAAGTTAGCTTTTAGTTAGAGTTTTAGTTAAGCAAATCAATAGAAACACAAGTCCTGACAAAAGGAGCTATTTCAATTATTTAGATAAGAAAATGATTCTAACTGTAATAATTTCGAATTAGAATAATAGGAATAATCTGAAAATTACGGACTGCTTTGTCTCTCAATCTTTATCATGCGTCAGGATTCATTTAGAGGTATTTGGATTCTGAAATAGAAGAAAAGGAATAATTTGAATTCGAAAATTTTGAAAACTCTTACTGAATATTCGAATGCTTTATAAGGTATTTTTCCCACTTTCCTAGCGTGTCTTTGTGATGTAGTGGTTCTGCACGCTGGGCCGGTATTACAGAGGTCCGTGGTTCGATTCCCGGCGAAGGCAGTTGCTAATTTTTCATCTCTCCGGCTTTTCCAATTAACTTGATGACTCTACAACTTTATGTTAATCACGTATCTAACGTTCAGTTAAGGTATTAATTTGACATGTAGTATATAATGCAATGTGTAAATCATGTATCGTAATATATAATGTAATATGAAACGTAAGATAAAGGTGGACGTGGTGCTGTACTGATTAACCCAAATGGTAAAGGGACAATGCCCACGTCCTCCGTCACTTATGGCTTATCAAATCACCTCTCAACCGACTGAACTGATGGCTTCTTTTCAAATGCTATCAGTTGCATACTAGCAGTTACAATGTAAATTTAAAACAGTTATATTTTTTATTTCCAAAATTAACTCATTTTCTCGTAGCATTTTGACAAAAGATAAAACGAAGCTGTTACCCGATTAAACGAAGCAGAAGAAGATAACATGGATAACAGGAAGTGCTTTATATACTGTAAGAAGCCTTTTTGAATTCTTATTTACGAGTGACCAAAAAAGTATTAAATTCTGCTTTACTGATTAAGTATTGTGATATATATATATATATATATATATATAGGCGAATGATATCTAAGTATTCGTAGGACGAATGTTGTAATATACAACTACTTATAAAAATATTTTTGATTTATAATTTTAATGATTAACACACCCCGAAAAATCATTCTAGATGGCTGATGACGTTTGCTATTTGATTTTACATATAGTGGAAAGGTCCGCCATGTAACACAGCAGATTGATTCTGATATATCGTAGCCTTACTTCATCTCACAGCATGAAAATGCAATTGTAGTAGGCATTATTATTAGAAAAACTCTTCCCGATTTGGGGAGGGGGAACGTTTCCGTTAACTACTTCCAAAGTAAGCAATATTTTTTCTATTATTTTGAAAAGACGTTCGAAATATCTTTTTCTATTGAAGTAAATGATTAAAGGTCTGTGAAATGCTTTTAAATAGATAATTTAGATGACATTTATCTGTAAGCATTGTCACACAAATATAGAGTTCATATTAGACGTATTTGAAGGAAGTTTGGAGTGTAATATATTACTGAGTGATTACTTCGCCTTCATTATAATCTGAACAGAGTAAGATAAAATCGAGAGAGTTTACGAATATTAAAATAATTAACATCTTATTTAAGCTGTTTAGGTAGACAATATACTTCTAAAAATCTTATTTTTTAATAATAATAAACATTTTGTAACAGTTACGCGAAAGATGTGCATTAGATGTTACATAGTTTAAAAGATAAATAATAAAGATAGATAAAAATCGAAAATTTTGAAAATTCTTACTGACGCCTTCTAATTAAGTAGAAGCATAAAGTTCCATCTTATACTGCAGTTTCGCACCTGCATTGATTTTATATGGACATACATTGATGTGATATTTCGTCATGCATTGCTTGTTTGAGTATAAACGGTAACATGAATTTATATGCATGGTTGTCGCACTTTAATTTCTGACTACACGCGTTTATTTCAATTTCCAGGTGTTCAGTAAATGCAAGAAGAATGCAGTGAATGTTTTCTTTAAAAATGCTTTATTTGTAAAAATATATGAATAATTATTGAAACCACGAAAGTAGGACGTATAGAATTGATTAAAATAATATTATCCTGATACATTTTAAAGATGGGATTATTTTACCAATCTATTCAGCATGCCCTTTGCAACATATTGTAATATGTGTAAAAATGGCATTCAAAATAAGGAATGAAAGCTTAAAACGCGTCACAGCATTTAGACAACAATTATTAGATATTCAGAATACGTTTTTATGGTTATATTCTCGTAAACAGCTAATTTTGGAAATCTTTTGCAATTCCACTAATTTTAAAATTCATATCCAATCACAGCACCAACCTTCTCATATGATGTCACGAGAAAAATTACTTTTTAATATTTTTGCTTTCGTATTTCCACTTTTTTCAATTTTGTCCAGTAGTTGTATACACAGCTTTAATTGTTTTTTTCCCTTCAAATCTTTAGTT